TCTGCCTCTTTATTCAAATTATGCAGTCTCTTTTGCTGCAAAGTAAGTCCAGTCCTCAATTTGGATATCCCTATTAGTAAATAACACACACACACACAGAGAGAGAGAGAGAGAGAGAGAGAGAGAGAGAGAGAGAGAGAGAGAGAGAGAGAGAGAGAGAGAGAGAGAGCAATCAATCAAGGGTGGGTTGACTTAAGGTTATTGGGGGTGATGTATCACAGCAGGCGACAGAACTTAGGTGATCTTAGCAATGTTGAATTGGATCAGATCTGATAAGTATCTGGAAGGGCGGCCACTAGGAAATCCCAGGGCTGCGGGCTGGACTGAGAATAGAAACAAAATGTCCTCAGTGAGCATTTTTCTGATGTTTTCTAATGTTTTATGTGTTGCATTTTGCCATTGCATTGATATTTTACTGTGCTAGCCACCCAGAATTGTTTTATGTGAGATGGGCAGCATTATAACTCTAATAAATTAAAAACCAGCACATAACCTGAGAAAAGATTTTGGCAAACTGCTTTCATGTGTCCAAATGGCACCTAAGCCACTTAGATTTTATTTATTAAAATTATATGCCACCCATCTCACGATCCAGCCACTCGGAAGATGCCGAGAAAGCTACCTAAAGTTGTCCAGGGGGTCCCTAAGAATCAAACTGGATTCAGCGGGATCTTTACCTGTATTTCCTCAACTGAAGTGTAATACAGAACACATTCTGGGTCCAAGCATTTCCTCTGAGTCTCTAAAAGTGAAGTGAAGCGAAGTTCATAATTTTCCCCCCCCCTCGTCAAAAATCAAAAACTTTCCCTCAAGCTTTCTTCATTTCATCAGTATTATTCACAACAGCCTCTGTTTCCTTGGTATATCCTTTAGTGCACTTTATAATCTTCGGCCATAACTTCTGGAAGCTGCATTCATTCCCTGGACATTGCTGAATGCCAGATTGCAGATTGATTTATGGTGGGATGGCAGCCTTCCCCCCCCCCCTCTCTTTTGTGAGCTTCGTCTCCCTACAGATCTGAGAAAAGTTGTTGTCTCCTAAGACGTCCAGTTCCTTGAATGTGTGTTTGTGGTTTCTCTCCCTTCCTTCCATTTTCTTATCGTACCTGTCTTAATCATCCCCCCCCCTCACCATTCCACAAAATGAAAGCGATGTGTCACAAAACCAGTTCCAACCGGTTTATTACCGTAGCTTTTCCACTACGTGGGAAGGAATGGTTAAAAAGGTCATGTGACCGGCAAAGCATGTCCCAATCAGTCACGTGGTGTGGGATGCTTGTTAGAATAGAGGAAATAAAGCTTTTTGTGATGATAGTGGATCAAGGGGAGGCTCAGGTGACCGCCACGTGAGTTCCTGATGAAAAACTTCTTGCAAATACAGGGAACTTGCGACTTTTTAATTTATATTGAAAGGTTTTACATATATAATAAAGAGTACATTCAAAGCAAAAGATACAGTAAACGCGAAAGTGAAATAAGAAAGGGAGCAAAAAAAGAGAAAACAGCCAGCAGAAGAAAACAAAAAGAAACAATAGAACAGAACAGAAAACAAAAGTCCCTCTTTCAGGAAGATGGGCGGTACCAAAAAATGTGGAAAAAACAAAATAAATAAAAACATAAAAAAGAAGTGTAAAGAAATGGTTTCCGATTTTCCTCTTGGCAAACGAATACAGTTGTATGTTATACATACAATTCTATTCAAACCTTTCTTTAAGATCATGTCATAAATTCTTTCTTTCACTAATCTGTTGTTTCTAATCCTCAAAACCGGAAGTACAGAATTATTTTCTTTTTTATGCAAAAAAAGAGAAAAAAAGCCCATAAAGGGTTTCCAGCCCTTGATCAGGAAACTTTGCTTCTAGGAAACTTTGCTTCTGTCACATCTGGATTATGAAGAGGACCAGCGATTCCTCTGTTGAAAACAGTGACCAGGTTTCAAACTTGAAATCTCCTCCATATGAAACTGGGGGTGGCCTCTCCCAAAACACGGTTATCTCAGGATCAGTTCAATCCCTCTTAAATATTGGGCAAGGTAAATCCTATGGTCTGGTTGATGGCAAATGAGAAATCTGCTTGTCCAGGGAAATTACATCTGCAAGGTTTATAAGAGGATTGATGTCAGGCGCAAGTACAGGGAGTCCTTGACTTAACGACCACAATTGAGCCTAAAATGTCTGTTGTTAAGTGAGATTTGTCCCATTTTACGACCTTTCTTGCCAGGGTTGTTAAGTGAACCTGGCTTCCCCATTGACTTTTCCTTGATAGAAAAAGTGATCACTTGACCCCGGGATACCACTGTACAACTGTCATAAGTGTGAGTCATTTGCCACACGTCTGAATTTTGATCATGTGACCATGGAGATGATGATGATGATGATGATGATAATGATAATGATAAAGTTGGAAGGGACCTTGGAGGTCATCTAGTCCAACCCCCTGCTCAGGCAGGAAACCCTATACCATTTCAGACAAACGGCTGTCCAGTCTCTTCTTAAAAACTTCCAGTGTTGGAGCATTCACCGCTTCTGGAGGCAGGTTGTTCCACTGGTTAATTGTTCTAACTGTCAGGAAGTTTCTCCTTAGTTCTAGGTTGCTTCTCGGTTGAAAAAAATGGTCATAAGTCACTTTTTTCGGTGCTGTTGTACCTTTGAACGGTCACTAAATGAGCTGTTGTAAGCCGTACCTGTACCCAGGAACAGGAGCTGAGTTCAAAGTTTTATTACAATACAAGAATCTGATCTACTAACAGTCAAGCCAAATTGGCTTTAGACGGGGGGGGGGGTGTGTCAACAGAATGGGTGCAAGATGGAAATGTCCTTTTTTGTAATATTAGTTTGAACCCGGTGCGCCCTGCCTTTTCCAAATGCATTTGTCTCTGAGTCTAATGTAAAAAGTAGGGGGAAAGAAGCATCCCCCCCCTTTTCTCTTTTGATTCCGGACTTCAACTTTTGTTTTAATGCTCATAGTAAACTATTGCTTTATGAGAGTGCCCTCTAGAGGAATTTGTATGTATTGCCATTTTCACCTGAGCTTGCTTTACCATCCTTTTCTTGGGATGGAAGTTTTACTTCCGTAAAAACTTCTTGGTATATTTTCTTGGTAGGTGCTTTGTGGTGCCCCCCTCTTCTCAGTCTGTTCCACTGCAGAAATGGGGAGAGGGGGGGTGAGTTGAATCCATCTGGGGGATAAGTACTAGATTGACTGGTTCAAACTCAAAAAGAAGCTTTTAATTAATTAACTTTCTGCAGTTGCCTCCAGGAACTTTTTAGATTAGAGTTTGAAGACACATGGATTATCTCTGGAAGTTGGCTGTCTTGCAGCTCTGTGAAAATGTCTCTTTAAGTTTCTTATTCTTGCAGAAAATCAGTGAAAGTAAACTAACTGCTTCCTAGGAAGAAAAAAGAAAATAACTGCTAGTTTTCAAAACACGAAAAGCACTTTAAAAACACAGTTAAATGAAATAGTCTTTAAGCTTAAAGAAAAGACAAGGAAAAGCGAAAATGATAAAGATAAAAAGCAAAGAAAAAAACTCTACCTTGTATATTAAACTTCTCAATAACCACTGGTTTATTAATAAATACCATACAGTATTATCATAAAATCAGTAGTAAATATTATTATAAAATTTCAAAAAAAAAATCTGCCAAAACCATACATATTGCCTCATCATTTGACTGGTAGAAAATACTGCTTTTTCCAAGATGGATAAGTCACACATTTCTAAAAGACATTCCATTCTTTAACATCTGGAATAATATTTTCTTTCCTTTCTCAGTATAATTCTTTTAGCTACCCCTCCCCCATGCTTGATCAACCATAATTCCTGATAAGCAAGTTCCAAAGCTTTGTACATAATTTGATATCATGTTAACATCTTTAACACTTTGCTCCAGTTGGTGCAAAATGCAATGGCCCACATGATTTTGTGCATACCTTTTTTTTGTGCACATGTGTCCCCTCTCCTGTGGAAGCTGCATTGGTTGCCGATTTGCTTCTGGGTGCAATTCAAGGTGCTGGTTGTCACCTTTAAAGCCCTTCGTGGCTTGGGACCAGATTATCTGAGGGACCACCTCTTGCTGGTCCCATCCACCCGACCCACTAGAGCGGGGAGGCAAGGAATATTGCAGGTCCCCTCCCCTAAGGAGTTTCATCTGGTTGGACCCCGAAGAAGGGCCTTCTCCATGGTGGCTCCCTCCCTCTGGAACATCATCCCTCTGGAAATTAGACTATTCCCCCCCCCTTCCCGACACTCTTTCAGAAGGCCCTGAAGATGTAGTTCTGCCAGCGGGCCTGGGGAAAACCCAGGTTGATATGAATGTGTGTTATCGCTGGGGGTGGTTATTATTTTATTATTTTTATTTTTTATTATTTTTATTTCTTTTATATTGTGTTTTTCATTTCCTGTAAGCCGCCTTGAGTCACCATGAGTGAGTAGGCGGCAATATAAATTTTCCAAATAAAATAAATAAGAGTTTTGCCATAAATCTACTTACATCAGGGGTCTTCAAACTTGGCCACTTTAAGACTTGTGGACTTCAACTCCCAGAATTCTGGGAGTTGAAGTCCACAAGTCTTAAAGTGGCCAAGTTTGAAGACCACTGACTTACATGCATCAAAACACCATCCCCAAAAGATATCAAGTGATCACATGACCATACCATATGCCATTCCAAATTCTCTGCCTTCCAAAGACAATTTATTGGACCACTTTATGTCATTCGTATACTCTGGTTCTGTTAGCCTTGGAAAGTTCAGGAATTGTCATAAAGATTGGAATCCCTACCCATTGCTTTGCCTTCTGAATGCTCCTCTCCCCCTCTGCAGCCACACTAACTAGGAACTGGAAGGCAGGAACTGGAAGGAAGTGTCATTTTGGTTTCCCTCCAAATAGGCCTGAAAAATACACCTTGCTGAGTAGGGAGAGGGCGGGCGAGGGTCTTAGGATTTATTCATCCTTTTCCTTAAAAATATCCCTGCTCATGCATCTTTTCCTTTTTCAGTGATGCAAAGCAAGAGAGGAGAGTCCCTTCACCGGATGTAATAGTACTATCTGACAACGAGCCGTCAAGCCCAAGAATGAATGGATTAACCAAAATAGCATTAAAAGAGACCAGCGCAGAAGTGCTAATGGTGAGTCTAACCCAGCAGTCATACAACTGAGACCGAACAGGCTGGTTCCACACACACACACACCCTTAGTACATTCAGATCTTTGGCCCAATAAGTCATGAGTTCATCTTCAAGGGTTCCCGCCATCTGCGCCACAGTAGTACATAAATCAGAATATAACAGAATTGACTTTTCTCTGTCCGTTGGCAAAAACTGGTCATGTCCTCTGCTTTGTCGCCCGGAGGGTTTTCTCTGCGGTGATTCCTTTGGTGGCTTCCCAGCTCCCTGGCTTTGCCCTCCTGCGTCCGACCTCTCGTTCCATTCTGTTCCTCCAGTCGAAGTGCATGAATTTCTTCTCCAGTTCGGGTGCCCCAGCTGCTCAAAATTCTCTCCCCCCCCCCATGTCAAGACTCTGTTTTTTCTGTTCTTTATGCCTGGGTCGCTTACATGAGCCATCTGTCTGTTCCTTCATGACACTCATGCGTGGAATTCCTCCTTCAGCACAAAAGCTGTGCTTCCCCTGCCTTTTTATTCTTCGGGGATGATGAGAATCCTGTCACTGCTGGCTGGGAAATTTGGCAGTTGTCCTTTAACCCAGGGGTCTGCAACCTTGACCACTTTAAGATAAGACTTGTGGACTTCAGCTATGCTGGCTGAGGAATTCTGGGAGCTGAAGTCCACAAGTCTTAAAAGTTGTCAAGGTTGCAGACCCCTGTTTTTTAACCTATCTGTAGGACACTGGATTACAAAAGGCTAGCCTAACAAGCCACATTGCTTCTCGTTCTGCTTCTTTCCATCTCCCTCTCATCTGTGTCCTCTTTAAAGCCCTCTTTTAAGTCAGCCCTTCTGCCGTCCTCCCTAATTTGACTCTTTCCCCCTCTCTAAATGAAATTTAAAACTTTTTCTCCCAATCCTGTGTCCTTGTAGAAAAGCAGCCCAGAAGAACGGGAGCGAATGATTAAACAGCTGAAAGAGGAATTGCGGTTAGAAGAAGCTAAGCTGGTCTTACTGAAAAAATTACGACAAAGTCAGATACAAAAGGAGACAACGGCTCAAAAGGTGCGTAGTCTGCCTTCCCCCCCCCCTGTACTTGTAGTTTATATGTGGCCTTTCTCACCTGTCTCCAACCTAGGCATTGATTACCTTGGGGACCATTTCTGGCTTTCAAACTGCTCCCCCCCCCACCAAGCATGACTTTTAAGATATCATCCTGCCAACAAAAGTACGTATAGTCAAGGCCATGGTTTTCCCTGTTCCAATGTATGGCTGTGAAAGTTGGACCATAAGAAAGGCTGAGCGCCAAAGAATTGAGGCCTTTGAACTATGGTGCTGGAGAAGACTCCTGCGAGTCCCCTGGACTGCAAGGCGGTCAAACCGGTCAGTCCTAGAGGAGATCAACCCTGACTGCTCTTTAGAAGGCCAGATCCTGAAGTTGAAACTCAAGTACTTTGGCCACCTAATGAGAAGGAAGGACTCACTGGAGAAGGGCCTAATGCTGGGAAAGATGGAGGGCAAGAGAAGAAGGGGATGACACAGGATGAGGTGGCTGGATGGAGTCACTGAAGCAGGAGGCGTGAGCTTAAATGGACTCCAGAAGATGGTAGAGGACAGGAAGGCCTGGAGGAACGTTGTCCATGGGGTCGCGATGGGTCGGACGCGACTTCGCAACTAACAACAATAATTATTATAATAGAGGTTACTGGCATTTTTTTAAAAAAAACTGTCCATTTTTTAAAACTGTCCATACCTGACTGGGGATCTGCAGGAAGCCATTCCATAACAGGATGACATCACCAGAGTGGGCACAGTCTGTTCCTTGTTTTTTCCAAGGATGTAAATCACAGGTATCCAACTTTAGCAACTTTTAAGACCTGTGGACTTCAACTCTCAGAATTCCCAGCGTTCCCCATGCCGGCTGGGGAATTCTGGGAATTGAAGTTCATAGGTCTTAAAGTTGCCAAGGTTGGACACCACCGTGATATAAATGAAAGCAAGATTCTTCCAGGAAGCAGATTGCTGTCATTCCTCCACTTCTCTCCTCTGCTGTTATTGAAAACCCATAATATTGGCCTTTTGGCACCACATTTTTGGCCAGTGAAAACTCAGGGTGCTGGGCCCATAAACAGAGAGCCCAAAGAGTGCCTGCAAAATCACCTGCTTTTGCTCTAATGCATTTCTCTCTTCCGTGTGTTTCCCTGTCTTTTATAGCCTGCTGGTTCTTCAGGAAATGCTGTAGCAACACCTCCCCCATTAGTGCGGGGAACACAGAACATGGCATCCAGCAAGTCAGCCCTTCTACAGGTAAGAAAGATCTCTGTTCATTGACTCAGTCTTTACAGGCTGCTTCAGTACAGGTAGCCCTCAACTTTAGAACTGTGATGGCCATAAGTTGTGACAGTTTTAAAGTGAGTCACCCATGTGAGCGATCTGATTTTATGACTTTTTTGTTTTAGCATTGGTCATAAAGCCAATGCTGTTAAGCAAACTCATTGTTTGCTATGGGGCATTTTTGCTGAAAACTGGAAGTAAACCCCAGTTTTCAGCAAAAATGTTGTAAATCGTGGGTCCTGTGAGCTCAGGATACTACAAACAGCCATAAATGCAGGGCCAATTGCCAAGCGCCCAAAATGCAGTCACGTGACTGTGAGAACCAGGGGATGGGTACCTTCTGAAGTCTCCGTTGGAACTTTGATGAATCACTAAAACAACTGATTGTAATATGTGGGCTCCTATAGTAGTTCTGAGCGGATAGATAAAGAAACTGGAAATAAAGCTGTACGTGTATGAATCTAAATGTTGCCTTCGAATCAGGGTTGACTCCTGGTGACTGCCGGGATAAGTCACTGCAGTTTTGTTGGCAAGACTTCAGAAGTGGTTTGCCATTGGAAACTAACCAAAGAGAGAAGCAACCTAGAACTAAGGATACATTTCTTGACAGTTAGAACAATTAATCAGCGGAACAACCTGCCTCCAGAAGCTGTGAATGCTCCCAACACTGGAAGTTTTTAAGAAGAGACTGGGAAACCATTTGTCTGAAATGGTATAGGGTTTCCTGCCTGAGCAGGGGGTTGGACTCACTAGATGACCTCCAAGGTCCCTTCCAACTTTATTATTATTATTATTATTATTATTATTATTATTATTATTATTACTATTACTATTATTATAATATTATTATTATTATTATTACTATTACTATTATTATAATATTATTATTATTATTATTATTGCTTCTTTTCCCTGGGCTGACAGCAACGGGCCCAAGATCACCCAGGTGGCTTTGTGCCTAAGGCAGAATTAAAACTCATGATCTCCAGGTTTTTTTTTTTTCGCCTGGTACCTTAACCACTGCACCAAACTGGCTCTCAAAGCTATATTAAGAAGTTGGTTAGTGAGCACAAGGAAAATAGGGCAGAGAATGCCCTTGATGGATCTTTGACTATCTGCAGTTATAAAGCAAAACCATTCTTTTGACTCTGCTCCCTGTCTTCCCCAACTCAACCCCGCTCCCAAAACAGAACACTTCTTCACGTATTCCTGGGACTGTTATTCCGCCTCCTTTGATCCGGGGTGGGCAACAGGCATCTTCAAAGCTGGGCTCTCAACAGAACACGCAAATAGTCATGCCACCTCTAGTCCGAGGAGCACAGGTAAGCTATTATTGTACTTTATATTCTTTCTTTTTTTTTTCTCCCCTCACACCTCACCCTTGCTCTTCCAAGATTCCTACGTGACTCTGATTATATCTGCTTAGCTGGGGAAGATTTTTTTTCTGTCTGAAACCCCAGAGAGTTGCTGTTGGCTAGGATATACTGGGCTAAGGGGAGGCTAGGTCAGGTCAAATAGCTGGTTGTGTTTACTGTTGAAATCCTAAAGCAGTGATGGCGAACCTTTTAGAGACCGAGTGCCCAAACTGCAACCCAAAACCCACTTATTTATATCCGGGTGCCAGGTCGGCGTGGCCCACTGGATGGGTGTGGCTGTGGTGGTCATGGCAGATTGGGTGGGTGTGGCCAATGTGGGTGTGATCACCTTGATGTTGCTCGTGGGGAGGGGTGCCTGTGGGGGCCGGGCAGGGTTGGGGGAGATCCAGGGGGTCTCTGGCAGGTGGGGCGGTGGGCAGGAGGCTCGTCCTGCAGGGTGAGACAAGGCAAGGCAGGGCGGGGGTGCCATTGTCACAGGGAAAGGTGAGGCAGGGGCCAGGGTGGCGGCTGCCTGACACCATCGGCCCCTGCACACAGAGGCCAGAGAGCGCATGGGTGCTGGGATCCATCCGGCCATGTGGGATCTCAGCCAATTAGCGGGTGTCTGGTTGAAGAGGGACAGTTGCCCTCTCTGGGGCATGGCGTGCGTGCCCACAGAGAGGACTCTGAGTTCTGCCTCTGGCACGCGTGCCATAGGTTCGCCACCACTGTCCTAAAGCCTTGGCAAGTTTAAGATGCATGAACTTCAACTCCCAGAATTCTTCAGCCAATCATGCTGGCTAGGTAATTTTGGGAATCGAACTCCATGCATCTTAAACTTACCAAGGTTGAGAAACACACTGCCCAAAAGGACTACTGCACAGAACACAGAGTTAATGGCTTCCCTCCAGAAATAACGGGTGCTCCATAACTGGAGGTTTTTAAGAAGAGATTGGACAGCCAATAGCATAGGGTCTCCTGCTTGAGCAGGGGGTTGGACTAGAAGACCACCAAGGTCCCTTCCAATTCTATTATTCTGTTATTCTTGATAGTTCTTCCTCACAGGTAGTCTTTGTTTAGCTATTGCCTTGTTTAGCGACCCTTCACAATTAGGATGGTGCTGAAAAAGCAACTCTGGCCAATTCTTCCACCGGTCACCTTCACAGACCTGTAAACCAAAGGAAAGCTGAAGAAAGATCATAAGCACAGTCACAGTTTCACTTAACAGCTGTTTTGTGTACCAACTGAATTGCCAGTCCCAATTGTCACTAAACAAGGATTACTTGTGTCATGCAAGGGCATTGCTGGCCTGTGCCCTCTTCCTCAGAAATTGCCATGTAAGCAAAGGCTGATAATTCAGTTAAGAATGCTTTATATGAATTGATCAATTTCTATGCCCTGCCAATCTATGATGGTCCTGCTTCATTTGACTCCCCACAACAATAAGCCTGTGAGGTAGCCTCAAGTGATTCTGTGGCCAAGGGGACACCAGAACTTGGATCTGTTGTTTATTATTTATTAGTTTGAGTTATGCCCTATCATTTCTCTTCAGGCCAAACTTTAAGGCAGCTGAGATGTTCCTTTTGGAATATTCCGTCAAGCCCAGAGAAATAAGGCAGAAGAAACTAAATTAATTACAAATTAGCAAGATGAAGGGATTAAAGTTGTAAGAGAAGAAAAAGAAAACTACTTTAAAGTATTTTACACATTCACTGTACCTCTCCATGCCTTTTTGTTCTGGGAAACTGCTTCTGCTATGTCATTCAGGTGCCATCCATGACTTCTTCCATTGTCTTTTGTTCTTTAAACTTCTTGCCTCCCTCTTTTTCAAGATCTCATTGACTCCATCAAATTGCGGCTTTCTCAGTCTCTCTCCATCTCTCTCTCCCTCCCTCCTCTCTCTCTCTCTCTCTCTCTTTCTCTCTCTCTCTCTCTCTCTCTCAACACATTTATTCTTCCATATTTTCGTTCTATACTTTGAGCCTCATATATTGTCATGATTAAGCCTGTCAGTCACTTGTTTTTGTATTCCCTCCATGTTCGTTCATTCTTGGCCCTTTCTCTCCCACATTACACTTCTTAAGTACCCTATCTCCATTACATTTAATAAATCACGACAGTATCTCTTGACATAATCTTTACTCTGTATAATAAAGAAGGCAAAATTGGTTGTAGGTGTAGCCATTTTTGCATCTTTTAACAAACATTCCACAGAGAATACCATTACTACTCACCAGCTTTCTATCAGTACATCTTAAAATTCATCTTTTCTAGTTTTTTTGTCATTTATGCATACTTTACTATCCCTGTCAAACACAACGGCCTTGGACTTCGGCACATTAATTATCAGATCCATACTCTGTCTATAATATGTATTGCAAATAATGTGTGTTTTCAGTCAACAGCATGGTATTGCCTGCCTACAAAAGTACACACACATTCCCAACAATGCATATCTAACATTACACATCCTTCTTGTACCCTCTGCCATCATTGTTGAGCCCTTTTTTGAGTTGGTCTCATGCCTGCTTTGCTTCCTTTACACACTGCTCTTAAATTCCCTCAGTCTTTCTGCAATTCAGGCCTATTCACCACAGGCAGTCCTCAGTTTACAGCCATTCATTTAGCGACCATGGTGCTCATGAAAAAAGGGATGCAAATCGAAGCGTGCTTATGAAGCTGCTTCTTGCAGGTCTATATTAAATTTGATTATCTGACAAAGCAAAAAAAAAACCACTTCCTGTTAGGATCTGATGCATCCTGAGAATCTTCCAGGCTGCTCTTAAGAATAAATCTACACTGTTGGCTTTGGGAGTATTCCTTTTTCTTGATTTTTTTTTTTAAAAAAAACTAATAGTTTTTCCTTTTGACTTCTCTTCTTCCCCTTTTTGCGTTGCTCCCACGACATCTTGTTACCATCCCACCCTTCCTCTTCTCCCTTGCTTGGCCTTCATTCTCCTCTCCCTTTTTCCTGCCTTCCTCCCACGTATCCATCTGTATCAGCCCATTTCTGTGTCTCCCCAGCAAATTCACAACATCCGCCCGCACTCCAGCTCGGGACCTCCTCCGCTGCTCCTCGCTCCGCGGGCCTCCGTTCCCAGCGTGCAGATCCAGGGCCAGCGGATCATCCAGCAGGGCCTCATCCGTGTTGCCAATGTCCCGAATGCGAGCCTTTTGGTCAACATCCCGCAGGTAAGCAGACAAGCAGTGTTTCCCTTAGCCTTTTTTTCCTCCTGATGTCATTCAGAAACGGTGAACGGCCCAATCGGAAGCAGGCATGCCTTCCTAGTCTCTATACTCGACTTAACAAGCGTTCGTTTAATTACCGTTCAACATTACAACGGCTCTGAAAAAAGTGGCTTATGGCCAGTTTCTCCATTTATGACCTTTGTAGCATCCCGACAGTCACGTGATTAAACTTTGGGTGCCTGCTAACCAGCATGTATCTACAATGGTTGCGGAGTCTCGGGGTCCTGGAATTGTCATCTGCAACCTTCCTAGGGAACTTCTGACAAGCAAAGTCAGTGGGGCAAGCCAGATTCACAATATAATGATGATTAAAAAGGTAATAAAATAGGGCATGGCTCACTTAGCAACTGTGTGGCCTAGTGGTGGAAATTTTGGACTCCATTATGGGCGTAAGTCAAAGACTATCTGTAGGTGGTTGCTTCATAACTCAATGATCTATCTCTTTCCTATTTTCTATGGCTGGAGGGGGTTAATAATGATGATTCTGTTATGAAAATGAGGGATATTCATAACTCCCTATTCGTAGAAAATACTTGCAGGGTTGTAGCAATAAAATCCTAAACTATCTTGAGAGATTGATGTTCTTTTGTCTAGGACAGGGGTAGGCAACCTTGGCTCTTTTATGACTCGTGGACTTCAACTCCCAGAATTCCTGAGCCAACATGGCTCAGCTTGGAAACCTCTCCCTTTCCCCTCAGCATGGCTGGCTCAGGAATTCTGGGAGTTGAAGTCCACGAGTCATAAAAGAGCCAAGGTTGCCTACCCCCTGGTCTAGGAAATACATCATAACTCTCCATAAATCTACCAAGCTACCCCAAATTAACTAAAATCCATTGAAACTATTCACATTCTGAATTTTACTTCAACAGAGGAAGTATTTTTATGTGTGAATCATCTTGGGAGTTTTTATTGCATGTGCTAAGAGTTATTACAAAAAATGCTAATATTTTTATAATCAAGGACTGCTGGTGTAAATAAGCCACTAATCAAAAATTGCAGTGACTACATTCTTTTTGAAGCACTTCCTTCTTGAGGTTAATGCCCTGTAAAAGCAAACTCTTTGTCAGATACAAGAATCCACGTGAGTTCCATCAAGCGGGATTGGCCTAGGGGGGGATTTTATAGGGATTTTAAAGGGATTTTATAATATTAAACTTAATACAGGTTATTTAATATATATTTTAATTTGGCTTTTAGAGATATTTATTGTATTGTACTGTTTTTATTTACCTGTAAGCCGCCCTGAGTCCCTCGGGAGAAGGGCGGGGTATAAATGGGATTAAAT